GACTCGCGTTTGGGGCGCGTTGTGGCGGACAATGAACAGTGCTCTTGGCGAGTTTGAGCTCATTGCATTTCTCTCATCAAGAGCTTTCCAACGAGCCCAAGATCTTCAAAATCGGTGAAGTAGAACCAAAGTTATGCTGGAAATGGAGTGCGCATTTTCGTGACTGCCACAAATTCTGCGGAAACAAAAAGTTACGGACTCCAAAGGGTTAAAGGGGAAGTATACCCTAAAATCAAATTTTCACCAGTTGTAGTCTTCGGGGTGCTGAGTCGAATGGTCTTGGTCCGAGGAAGCTGCGACGCTCCCTTCCTTCTTTTTTCCCAATCGAACCCGCGCACTTCCACCGAAACTGGGTGACTGCGCCCTACTAGATGGGGATTTGTATGCAAAATCTCACTAAAAGTGCTATGCCGTTCTTATAAAAGCACGGATGACCGCGATTGGCCCATATGTTGTAATCTTTTGGACGCTGAGTCGACTGGTTTTGGTCCGAAAAGGCTGCGATGCAGCGTTCCTCCTTTATTCCCAATCGAACATGGTTGAACAAGCGGTCACGTGCTCCTGGGTGCCCAAATCACCTGGTCACCGCGCCAGCAGGCGACAACTTTCACACCAAGGTTCAACTCGAGTGACAGGACTGCACCCGAAAAAGGTCAAATAGGCTAGTAAGTTGTACCCTGCAGGCACGGTGACCAGGTGACTGGTGTACGCAGGAGCACGTGACCGCTTGTTCAACCATGTTCGATTGGGAATAAAGCTGCATCGCAGCCTTTTCGGACCAAAACCAGTCGACTCAGCGTCCAAAAGACTACAACATATGGGCCAATGGCGGTCATCCGTGCTTTTATAAGAACGAAGTGGCGCTTTTAGTGACATTTTGCATACAAATCCCCATCTAGTAGGGCGCAGTCACCCAGTTTCGGTGGAAGTGCGCGAGTTCGATTGGGAATAAAGGAGGAAGGGAGCGTCTCAGCTTCCTCGGACCAAGACCATTCGACTCAGCACCCCGAAGACTACAACTGGTGAAAATTTGATTTTAGGGTATACTTCCCCTTTAACCCTTTCTAAAGAGCCCTAGGAAATTTTCAAAATTATGCATTTTTTCGTGTTGTTTGGATTATAACTTCAGTTCTACTCACTCAATCTTCATTATCTTGCATGCTTGGGCTTCCTGGAAGTGGAAAGGTACCAGGGAGAGAATGAGGTCGACCCTGATAGCTAGGACACAGTACAGTCATGTACATATCCAGCGCGGTAGAGTGCAGCGACGGTGCGAAAAATGCCCCAAACAGGCCCAAACGCGTTCTGCTCCGGCGATTTCGTTTTTCTTGATCGCAGAGTTTCGATTTTTTGTTGTGTACTCTTGAAAATATCACAAGTAAAGCCCCTGCAAATTTGAGCAAATCAGCGCGACGAAAATCTCAAATTCTCGATACTCAAGTCGCACTGTGCGCTTTTGATTTGTCGAGATCGCGGCTCAACTTACGAATGATTTATATCACGGTACATTGCTCACAGCGCTTCGCAAATTGTTTCAACCGACAGCTGAGAGTTTTCTATTCGACCTGGATATTTGAATCGTTGGATTTGAGCGAGATTTGACTGAGTTACGATCTTTTGAAGTTTTGCATTCTTGCCTGATCGATCATGCGCCCTATCAAAAAAGCCCCAAAACGTTGCTCGTTTGGAACATTTGGGGGGTTTCCGGGCAACGGGAACCCCCCCCTGCGTATGCGCCTGTGTGTACATGTATGCATGTATGTATGTGTATGCATACGTGTATGTGGATGCGTGCATGCGTGTGTATGTATGTACGTTTGATCCTGATGACATGGCGTTCCCTCAGCTCCAGTCCATAGTGCTCAACAATGAACGGTTCTCTGTGCCGGAGTTACTATTTCACCCATCTGATATCGGTATGTAGTTTTATATTATACAAACTGAAGTAGCTTGTAATCGTGGGCCAATGAGGGCGGGGAGGGATTTTCCCTATTGAACTTATGTTCCTGTGATGGCGTTACCGTGCCACTCCTTATATCCAAGCATACCATCTGAAAGCAAGTGGGCCAATTTTCGAATCCATTCGATCGGGGAGCATTGCCTCAAGCTTTGTCGTGTGTGGCATTGCCTGGGCCCCACGCCATCTCCCACGTGCAGCCCTAGTTCCTCTGCACTAGAGATAGGTAGGGTCAGGGAATAAATAGCCCATGGAGTGTGCAACTCCCGCATGCACTGCTGTCCCGGCGGAAATTCAAGTTGACACCATTCTTATAGTGCAAAGCTAATCGCACGAGTGATTTGCGACGTTTGTACTGCCACTGGGTGTCAACGCATTGCACATGTTTCCTTGCACCAGTTTGTAGAGGATTGAATGGGGAGTTGTCCACCACTGGTCCTGGAGGCTACGTTTAGTAAATTTAATATGAACCCTTTCAGTGCCAAGGACGAGATAACTCGTCCTGAAACAACCACCCTGAATGGCCAAGGACGAGATAACTCGTCACGCACACGGAGCATATGGAAACGAGCATAGACCACTGTACACACAGCTATCACCTCGGCCTCCCTACTTCAAATTCAACATATGACGGCTCATTGGAAAGCTATTGAACGCAGCTTTCCAACAATGTATCTTTCGATATAGCGCGAAGTAAAATACTCAAGCGCAGAAGCTCGAAGTCTGGGAAACGGGAAATTTCAAGCGTGTGACTGCGACGCACTGCATGCCAAAGTTGACGAGGTGTTTGATTACGGGGATTTCCCCGGGGAACAGCCCATGCGTGACATACACCAAACTGAGCGCTAGAACAGGCTGATTCTGCTGGTGTTTGAATCGTCGCTGTACGTTAAGTATTGCAAATGGAAAGAAATTGTCGCTGAGTGTAGAATAGCACTACAAAGGCGCATTGGAGCAGCTTTCGAAGTGTTTTTAGGCCATTCTCCTGCGCCTACAGAGCACTGAGCACCCTGGATCGACAGGGGAGATCCTCAGCTTTCCAGAGAGCCTACGATGATGAAAATCCGTTACTGGTGAGTGAAATGGCGATATTTTTAGTGCCCAGTGTCAGCATTGCGTGTAGTGCCCAGCGTGCGTGCCGGCCAACCGTGTAGTAAGTGCTCTGGTACTGAAAGGGTTGACCCACATGCATGCACGCATACACACAATAAAACTTAAAACAAACAAAAACACGCATGTGCACACTCATCCAGACGAGCATGCACGCACACACGAACACACACACACACACACACCTTGACCTTGATCTTGCCCATTGCGTACGCAATGATAGCGAATGTCGGAAAGTTCAAGTGAGAACACGAGCGCAGAGTTTGGCATGCTGTTTCAGGTCTCCTGGTCGACGAAACGCGCGCGCGCGCGAGTCGTCCATCCTGCCAACATAACCTAGCCAACGAAGACGGTGGCGATGGATGATGCTGGTGATGTCAGGGTCAACACCGAGTGTAGCCGCTAATGCGGCCGTTGTGATCCGGTCATCCCACTGTTGACGACGGCCAATATCCACGATGGACCGAACACACTGACGGTGGAACGTGTTGAGCTTCTGGAGGTGGCCTGCCTTGGTGGTCCACGTCTCCGCACCATACAAGAGGGTTGTGAGGACGACAGCCTCATACACACGTCTCATGCTGTGAAGTGACAGGGTCTTGTTGTCAAAAACAGGAGCTTTGACGGCTCCGAACACAGCTGAGGCTTTCGTAAGGCGAGAGCGGACATCAGCACAGGCAAGACCATCCGAGGAGAGCACACTGCCAAGGTAGGTGAACTGGTCCACCACTTCAATCGTGTCTGCCCCGACAACAGCGTCACGGCGATCAGCAGACTCACCCACAGCCATACCCTTGGTCTTTCTGACACTGGCCGTTAGGCCCCAGCTGCTTGCATAGGTGATGAAGCTGGATGTCTTCGCTTGAAAGGCAGGCCGAGATGTTGCGTAGAGTGCAGCGTCATCAGCAAACTGTGACTGTGTGACCTTTGATGACAGGAGCTTGCCCTTCACCGTTCGATCACCAACTAGCTTCCTCCCAACTTTATAGTGAAAGGATATGCCAGCGTCCGAACAACTGAACCTCCAACTGGCACCGACAGCAGAGAAATACAAATAGAAGAGCATTGGTGCGAGAGTGCAACCCTGGCGCAAGCCATTCCTCACTGATATGGGATCAGTCAGCTTGCCATCCACCTGAACAGAAGCAGTCATGCCGTTGTGGAAGGACTGGATGATGCGGTGCATTGCCGGCGGAACACCAAGCTTCTCGAGAACATGCCACAGCGCTGCACGCGGGATACCGTCATACGCCTTTCTCAGGTTGACGAACAGGACATATGCATCTGCTGCTTGTGAAGCAGCCACTCGTTTTGTCAGTGAATGCTGACGTGACACAAAACTATCTACATGACTGCATTCTTAGCGTGCTGGTGACAGGTCATTCTTGTTCCACAGTACTAGATGTCTGAACTTGACTGTATGTTCTGGTGTTTGTGTGCCTGCATCCGTGTGTGTGTGTGTGTGCATGTGTGTGTGTATGTACATGTGTGTGTGTGCATGTGTGTGTGTGTGTGTGTGTGTACATGTGTGTGTGTGCATGTGTGTGTGTGCATGCGCGCGTGTGTGTGTGTGTGTGTGTGTGTGTGTGTGTGTGTGTGTGTACGTGTATGTGCATGTGTGTATGGATGTATTTCTGCCTTAGGCATTGATCAGATGGGTGTGTGCGAGGCGATAGTTCATGCCATCTCACGCACTCCGATTGGTAAGTACTTTTAGTTGGTGCTGTGCTGTATGTTGTAGCACAATGCGAGCACTGCATTCTGTGCTCGTTTTATTGACTCTCACCGTAGATCTGGTAGATCTGGATCATCTCAGGTGACCAGTCCTGGGCGATGTGTGCATCTTTCACCTGCCTGCCTCTAGTTCTCTTCCCCTCTCCCTCTCTGAGTCCCCCTCCACCCCCACCCCACCCCCATCCCTGGTAACGCTTTCATTAGACCAAGAATGGTAGTTCAGATGTTTGCATGAAGTTTGGTCCATGGTTGTTGTGTTTCTTTCTTGTTGTTGTTCTCCGTGTGCTATCTTGTTTTAGCTCTACATCCGCATTTCTATCAGAATATCTTGGTGACCGGCGGTAGTGCATCGTTTCCCGGCATGCAGGGGCGTATGTGAGTGCAGTTAGTGCATCGTTTCCCGGCATGCAGGGGCGTATGTGAGTGCAGTTAGTGCATCTTTTCCCGGCATGCAGGGGCGTATGTGAGTTCAGTTAGTGCATCGTTTCCCGGCATGCAGGGGCGTATGTGAGTGCAGTTAGTGCATCTTTTCCCGGCATGCAGGGGCGTATGTGAGTGCAGTTTGTGCATCTTTTCCCGGCATGCAGGGGCGTATGTGAGTGCAGTTAGTGCATCGTTTCCCGGCATGCAGGGGCGTATGTGAGTGCAGTTAGTGCATCTTTTCCCGGCATGCAGGGGCGTATGTGAGTGCAGTTTGTGCATCTTTTCCCGGCATGCAGGGGCGTATGTGAGTGCAGTTTGATAGAGTGCTCAATACGGAAAGGCAGAGCTAGTTCCAACAAGGATAAGAGGATGAAAAAGTGTTTGAACTCCGAGTTTCACGTGCTAAGCGATCATCAGAAACACAGTAATGAGTAACTCTGGATACTTCTGAAGTGGTATTGCGAACAGTGTGCTGACATGGACACAGGCGTGACTTCACATAGGAAATTTTATATAGTAGGTAACGATTTCTTGTCAAGCTTTTGTGTTCAATGTTACGTTTCAATTGAGTGTTCTATTTATTTCCGAATTTGAGTTGCCTTTTTGCTTTGGTTCTTACTTCATAGTTTCACGTGATTGGTGTTGTGAATAAACCCGTTCTCAAGTGTTGCCAACAGTGCTCTGTGTATGCATGTGCTTTTGCTCTCTGAACTGCACAGGTACAGGGAACTGCGCATGTTAGCACCTGTTGACTACAAAGTCGTAGTGTCCGTGGCAGAGAAGTAAGTTCTACATTCATCATCATCATGATCATGCTGGGGTTTGTCAAATACGGGTCTGGAGACTGCACGTACACCTCTCTATGGGTTCTGTAAAATGGCGGTCAACACACGCTGAACACCACGTGCTCTATCTAGCTGCAAACAATGGTCTGTCGCATATTGCAAATCCGTACTGTCTCCTCTGTCGTCGCTGCCAGAACATTTGTTTGCAGCTGTACGTATAGTAGGGGTGAAACGAGTATCTATTTTGGCCAATCGATCACTCATTCATAATAATAATCAAGAGTACATAACCCCCCCCCCCCCCCCCCCCCCCAGAGTGTGTAACGCTTGATCCAGCTCTGCATAGGGTCTTGGTCGAGCGTAATCGGATCTTTGCGTCATAATACCGTACACATCTGAGGGGAACCCGGGGAGTCGCGGGTACACTCGGATCAAAAACAACGGTGCCCTGCCTCGAGACCGGGCTTGCGGTGGTGTGGAGTGTACGCATGACATCAGAAGATCCGATTCCGCTCGACCAAGACCCTATGCAGAGCTGGATCGGTGTTGCACACTCTGGGGGGTTATGTACTCTTGATAATATTCGATCAAGTATTCAATTATTCCCGTAGCTATGCAGAAGATGTTACTTCAGTAACGTCTGGCGCTAGCCAGGGTCCACACAGCTTTAATTTGGTGTTTGTTTGTGTGTTTGTTTGTTTGTGTCACGTCTGGCGCTATCCCGTATCTGTCCCGTTCTGTACCGTACCAGCAAAGACAGCTGGCCACAATATTTTTGTTTGTTTGTGCCATCGACATGCCTGGCGCTATCCCGTACCTGTCCCGTACCATCAAGAGTACGGTACCATCAAGAGAATGAGTATATATGCGAAGTGTATGGGGGAATGCATTCAGTGCAGTACCATTAAATTTTGTGTGGATTTGTGTGCGAGGCCGAGATCCCACTAGCAGGCTGGCTGGGCCGCCTGTCGACCAGCCCGGGAATCGCATGTAGGCCGATAGCATAATAATTATACAGTCATGTAGATGTATAGCAGGGAGTCATATTATGTAAACGACTCCCTGCTGTATGGGGAGATTTTCTGGAAAGAAATACGAAGTAGGGAGACGAGTAAATGCGATCAGAATGGATGTTAGTTGCCGTCAGTATAATAATAAGAAGAAGAAGAAGAACGCCCGTGATCGGCAGAGTCAGCGCCGGTCCCAGAAAACGTCAGGACAGACATCCCGTCGACTCCAGAACGCCCGTGATCGGCAGAGTCAGCGCCGGTCCCATAGCTATGCAGAAGACGTTACTTGTACTTCAGTATCTCATTGAAACGTTTTAGCAATACAATGATGTAGCTAATCAAAGGAAAAAGCATTTCCATCAGTTCTAACAACATGCGCGATGAGCTAGGCAACAAAGCATAGCGCAGGGCCCTGAGCTTCCAAGCTCTCTCGTTTCGAGTATTTTATCGAAATTCAAAAGTGCTAGGTTTGTGAGTGCTCGACCTTCGGACCGTCGGATTATCATCAGTACTTTCATATTACCGTAAAGTACCGTTGATCTGTCCCCGCCCCCCCCCCCCCCCCCCCTCACGCCATGTCGCTTCCCAGCTGGGTTTTCGGCAGGGGGTGGGAATTAGATCAAAGGCTGTGAAGTGCAGTACGATGTACAACAACGTGGAAGATCAGACTCAATGTGCTAGATTGTGCACATTTTCATCCTGGACTGGCATGTATTGTGTACAGCAGTGCATGCGTCGGTTCAACATTGTATTTCGTTGTATACGCCGAAATCGCTTCACGGGTAGAAAATCGACAGGGGGGGCGGGAATTACTGAGGGGCGGATCAACGGTACTTTACGGTCCTATTAACAATAAACGTTGCTTGCAGTGATGATTGTATCGTCCAAGTCATAAAATACTGACTCAAGGACCTGCATAATACATGCATACCAGTGGACGAGAGGTACAACAAAAGCTGTTGAAAAATAGAATGTCAATACTAAAAAATAAAAAATAAACGATCGAGTACAAAATTTCGAATACTCGCTCGTTTGAAATTTTCGAACGATTACTCGAATATTCGAACTAATCGTTTCACCCCTATTAACGTATAGCGTGTGAGATGTTCGCCATGTGTTGGCCGCGTGCCATGTTCGGCGTGTGTTGACCGCATATGATGTTCATGTGTGTGCTGCTGAAATAAAGGAGCAACATGACTCAGCAGAAACTGCAGCAAGAACTGAAACTACCAATGCTATGGCATGGACAAGAACACTAACAAAACAACACCAAACTTGCACATGTACTTGGTTACAAGCCCGGGGCACTATTTTAGGGGGGGGGGGGGCTTAATTTTGTTTTCATTGGCCCTCCAAGCTACAATTTGACACAGGGCACTGCTAGTATTCTACACAGGGCTCTCATCATGCGTGTACAGTGTGTAAAATTTTCTTATTTTGATTGCGGTTGTTTTCTCTGTGCAGCCCTACACTGCATTGCTGGAAGTCAGCCGCAGAGTTTGCAACAAATGAAGAACATGCTGCAAAGTTCACTGTGACACGAGAGGAGTATGAAGAGCACGGTCGTGCTGTTTGTCAGCAACGATTTCGGCATGAGAGCAGTCTCTGAACGACTAAGTCACAGCTAGCCTGGCGCTGTGTCAGCTATAATACTGATCGTACTTCCTTGGAGTACACGCTGGACTAGCACTAGACTTTTGGATGCTAGCTGATCAATGCGTTTGCACTACGTCATCTAGGTGAAAGGAAGCTCCGTCGCAAGTCAATCATCAACCAGCACATTGTACCAACTGCATCATCAATGTCATCGTATGGCAAGTATGCTGTACGTGTACTGACTGTACCACTACCAGGTACAGCAGGCCAACTAGCACAGGGACATACTGCGTACCTGCACACACCCCATGCTCTGCGGTTAGGTCTGCTGACTTCTCACCTGCTGTGCAGAACGCATTGTTGAATTAATATTCAGTCAATGCACCACGGCTGTGTCTATGGCTACTGCAGTCACTGCTTGACCCCAAGTTCTGGGCGGTGCTCTATTCAACTGCAACGTGTGTGTAAGTTGTGGCCAGTCTCAGCCAGCAAGACACTATGTGAACTATGTTGTACGCTCTATGCTGACCAAGCTCAGCTACAGCAGTGCAAAACTTTCATGTACATAATATTAATAACTCTCTCTCTGCTTGGATGCTGCCTTTAATACTTCATATTGGAAAGTCCTTCAGAATAATCCACACAAATCTTCCATTCTAATCCATGAAAATCATGATCTTCCATTGAAATCCACTGGTATCTAGAGTCTCTATTCCCGGTCCAGCACACTCGTACCTCCCCATGGCTATTCACCCTAGTTGCAGCAACCAGCTTCGTATTCTTTTGATTGGTTTTATGATAAAATGCTCATCCCAACATGCTTCTAAGTCTATAAAAGTTCAAAAGTAACTTTCTAACTGCTGCAAGTCCTTGGCAGTAAAATTCGCCACGGAATCGCTACCCGCACAAAAGCAATGACGACTAGAAGGTTGGTTAGGCACAAGTTGAAGCTAATTTTAAATCAATACATTCAAAAGCATTGTTGACTGAAATAAAAAGAAAGAGTAAATAATGCGTCAACAAGAAGCATTTTTTTCAGTTTTGTTTAGTGTGACGAGCGACAATGACGTTCCTCTAGTACTCGTTTCCACGGTTTTCGGGCTTCTTGACCTTGAAGATACGCACAATCCAGTGCTCGGTGGTGTAGGCTTCCTCCAACACACCCAGCTCAAAGTCCTTGTTGCCAATCTCGACGTTGCGTACACGGTCATAGCCAGTAGGCTTTCCCTGCTCAGTATAGACCTGTCCAAAGCGGTAGTAGCAGAGCTTGTACATCAGACAGTTGAGGAGAGTCGGGGATCCCTCCTTGTCGACACGGAACTCTCCAGTGGGAGTGTAGTAATCCATCTCCTTGATATGCGAGCCACGGTCTGTGCTGCCACCAATTCGCACCATCCACAGGAATTTGTTGATGTCATCAGAAGCATAGCCGGTCAGACCACCGAAGATGACCAGCACATAGTCCACATCCAACTCGCGCATAATTTCATAGGCCTTGTCTTCAGGCGAGGACATGGCTTGACCGACACGAGAGATGTGGGTGTTGTTCCAAGTGTTGTTGTCGACTAGAATGGTTCTGTTGGCCATGGCCGTGATCTGGTATCCGTAATCCCACCATGACATCACCTTAGCATCTTCAGCGGTGTTCTGTCGCAGCCAGTAATATGCCTCACGGAAGTCGTCGAAGATAAGCCTGGAGCCATCCTGCTGACGTGCAGCCAGAACGATGGATGGAGAAGAGTAGGCTTCGGCAGTGACCCAGCAGCAATGGAACGCATACACGCACAGCAAGAAGGAGATGAGAACGACGACAACAGTGGCAATCTCATTCTTCACCGGGTAGGAGGCAGCTTCAGAGCGCTTCTGCTTCTTGTCGGGCTTGGAGATGACACTCAAGTTCTTCATGTACGTAGTAAGGATAGCAGACACGCCAATGCCAGCCAGGATGCAAGCCACCGGAGCCAGAACCAACATAAGACGAACCATCACACCCTGTAGTCAGCAACAACACAGCACAACAAAACAAAAAGCACACATTTAAAGAGTGGATACAAAAGTGTTAAGTACTACACTACAGGCTCCAGTGCTAGGCATAGGCTTGCTATGCTCACAGAAACTCTTTCTACACACTGCCCAAGACATGGGATAAAAAATCCAACACTGCTTTTAGGTCTACAACAAAATAGTCACCATGCTAGTTACTATGTACAATCGTGGCCAAAGGAATCCGAGCCCCGTGCAGAGAGCAATGACAAGGCGCATGCGGCCGTCGGATGTTTTTTTTGGGCCGTGCATGATGTACAGTAATTGAAATGGAAACGAGGCGCTATTTTGGACTTGTCTGTAGATGCGTAGCATGTGCCACCCAATTATTGCTAGTGGTGAAACGAATGTCAAAACCTAGTAGCCGAATGTTCTTTGGCTTAACGAACGAACGTGCGAATATTCTTTTGGTAACACAGATGACATCACATGCCCTCCTCTCAGTCATTTTATGGATATTGTCATTACTATTAGGTATGACAAACGGTAGTGCCACATAAAATACACCACCACATAAGGCTACTTCGAAGTTCATACATGTTATCATGTGCAACATTGGCAGTCCGGTATGCACATACATGTGCAAACATGCAGTACAAAGTCAAAGGCAGGCTGTACGCACTGTCTGTACTGTGTTTGGCGTGCATGTACGTACAATTATTGTACATGAACTGCGTTTGAAGTGACGTCACGAATACTCGAATGCGACTTAACCCTTTGGAACTGCACTGATCACACGACGTCGGGAGATAGCTGCAATTTCAAGTATATTCGTTCCAATTTCCATCATAACGCTGGTTCTACTTCACCGATTTTGACGATCTTGGGCTCGTTGGAAAGCTCTTGGAACGAGGATAACAGCGAGCCCAAACTCATTCAGGAGAGCGATTGCTGTCTGCTACTGAATGCCAGGAACGCCAGCTGAATACCAAATCCAAACCGGGAATAGTCCTTGTCTCGCCATTTCACTCGTGCTAGCTCAAAATCATTCAATTTTTTCTAACAGACTCACAAAAGCCGTGACAAAAAGCGCTGGGAGTGATGTCACACGCTGCGTGGGCAGGAAGAGGGAAAATCCCACTTTTGAACGAAATTTGCACTTCGCTGACGCATGAGAAATCGAGCGAACGTTCGAGCACTTGCCGCTCTGTTATACCAGCTCGTATCGACCCCGGAGTTTTTCGAGCCGGCAGCTTAGATTCTCTGCTACCTCGTAGGTATTTCGATTGTTGAATTCGGTTGAGATTTGACTTAGTTGTGACTCGTTGAGTGCACTTGCACACATGACATTGGCATCGTTCGAATTCGAACGATCACCTCCAAAGGGTTAAAGAATATTCGAATGTGACCAACCGAACGAATGTTCGAATATTCGTTTCACCACTAAATATTGCAGGCACTTTTTTCTTCAGACTTTTCCCGTTTGTGTCTTTCCCTCAAACCAGTGAACATCCAAATATTGTACGTGAACTATCTTGAGCTCACAACAAGCCACCCCCTGTACAGTGCATGCAGCCACACAGCCATTGAAGCACCCACCCACACATATACCATCTGTTCACGCACGCAGGACACCACAGTAACTCACCGCAAAGTACACACTGGTGACGCCATAGAGAATGATGAAGATGTTCGCGTCGGTTAGCTGACTGAAGCAGAAGTACAAGCCTGCTGGGAAGAGGAAGGCGAGAAGATGCAAGTCGAAATAGAACGATGACCATGCCGTAGGCTGATGTTCAGATACAGACGCAATGATCGGAATGTTGTTCTTGGCATAACTGGGATCCAACAGAGAGTAGAAACGGCCGGTCCAGGGCGCAACCTTGCCAGTGATAGCCAGGACGATGACAACAAGAGAAAGCAGTGCACCGACAATAGCCATAAGAGCACGGAACAGAGTTCCAAACTGCTGTGAAGAGAGCTTGCTACGGATGTAGTCAACAAAGGCGTGGATCTGGCATAGGCCGAAAACGCCCAGAGCACCCATATGTTCACTTGTCTGGACTGGTTGGAAGCCAACAAAGGCAATCTGCATGGACAAGATAGTGCCCAAGATGTACACCGTCGAATAAGCCACGTAGATGCGATGAGAGAAGCGGCCAGTGACCATGAGTGCCAGGACGTGGATGGGAATCAAATTGATCAAGAAAACGTAACCTCCCCAGGATGACACCATGTAGAAGTATGCCAGGGCACACATGGTAGACCAGAAGAGAGACCCTGTCTTCACAGACTTGATCCACAGCCAGTATGTGTTCAGCATACAGAAAATGGCAATTCCTTCGTTATCATACGAACCAGCAACTGAACGGGAGATATAACCCGGCACGATAGCGATGAAAGCAGCAGACATCAAACCAGCTGATACATCCTTCAGCTCCTTAGTGAGGTTGAAAGTGACCAGAGAGGTGAACGATGAGAAAAGTGGGGCCAAATAGACACACACATTTCTAACTTCTATGGTGATGTGGAAAAAATTCAGGATGTGGTACACCAGAGCAGAAGTCACCATCAATCCAGGGTAGATAGTTCCACCAATAATTCTGCCCAGAGGATACCATGCACGGTCGTCAAACCAGTTATGGAAGCTGTAGAATCCTTCCTCAGCTAAGTATCGAGTGGTTCTGTAGTTGAAGTAGGGATCAAATTCGTGAATAACATTTTCAAATCGGAGAACTGCAAACAGACGCAGGGAGAAAGACAGAATGCAGCAGAGGGCTAGCACACCCATCTTGACCAAAGTCTCCTGCTTGGCCACATTTTGAAGACCAAGAAGGCCTAAGACCTTCGCTTCGGGCCCCATTCTCCCAGTTCCTGAAGGACAATTTGTTCTCTTCAGTTCTGGTCTTCAACTTCTGTCAAACATACAATCGCTCAAAAATCAAGGTTGTACAAAAGCGACACGTCGGTACAACGCCATTGACGTTTGCCACGCGCATGTTCTGCATGCTGAGGTATCGCAAAACAAAAAATCTTTCTCACGGCCGGCTGCATGCACTGCATGCACTGACGTCATGACAGTCAGCTCGGCGGCGCGGCGGGGTGTTTACATGGTTTAGGCCTAACTCCGCGTTTTTAGCGGTGCACGCTAGTGCATAGGCATTAACCCTTTACCGGCAAGTTACTTTTGTATATGAAATCCATAACATTTAGAACGATACCAATAACTCACAACGAGGCCACATTTTGTATGTGCAAGTTATGTTTTCTTGGAAGTCTAGTACTACTTCTTGACCATGGAAAAATTTATTTTCTCATACCACACACATACGCTGCTAAATTGGCACCTCTACGTCTAAACACGGAAATTGTACACATGCAAATCGTCAGAGTTCCGACATTGACATGATACTACCAAAACAAGTCGACTTCGGAGCGGAAACAAACGCCATAGCCATCACAAACTTCAGTGGCCATGCCTCGCTCGCAAATGAGAGCAGCATCGCCCCAGAATCGCTGTCGGAAAGCTCCGTAAGGTCGCACGCACGCCGCGCTGCGCTGCCGTCACTCAAGTACGTAGAAAGTCGATGGGCTAAAATTCCGTCTCTGGGAGACTGTCGACACGGGGATCGCTCTCCATGGCTTCCCCACCATAAGCACCATCAGATTCTTCCAGGTACATCACGACGACATCGTCTTCAGCGGCTGGCGCTCCCCATATTTGCGTGCGAATTTTCTTGGCGTGCGCACCGCTCCGTAATTTGAAATTCGCTTGCATCGGCGGCTGGAACGAAATATTTTTCTATCTGTCGTCGGTCCCAGAGCGAATGACTGCTAGGTCGTCGTCGGAGAAGTCATCCGAGGACGAAAGGAACTCACTGCGCAAGAGAAATGCACCTGACGATGTTTTGACGGAGGCGGGCGGCATTGTCGGCGCGCGTGTATTTCCGTAAGTTTTCGATCGCGCAGTTCTCAATGAAATCAAATGGGACACGCGTGGATCTCTTCAGCTACCGATAGGATCATACCTAGGCTGTGTGAGGGCCACGGGAAATTCCCGTGGGCTGATGCTTCCCGTCATGCCAGGCATAGTTTTGTATGCCTGTCGAATGCGTCAACGTTGACGCATTCAAGTATGGGGCTGCCGCGCCGGTAAAGGGTTAAGTCTACGGTCCCCAATGACATCATAGTCAGGAGATACGCGAACAATGATGTCATTATCCGAGGCCAAATAGAGGTAGTAAAATTACGACTGCAAGCCAAGCAAAGACTTTTTTATTTGCGATGTTTGAAGCTGGACCCGTGATCAGAGATGTGTTGAGATCATCGTCAGGAAATCACAGCATGCAAAGCCGAAAGTATTGTGTTGTGACACTTTGACTTGGGTGTTGTTTTGTGAACGTCCTTTCACTCATCGGAGTCATCCTTTGTGAAGTGTCCTCGCGCACGCGAGGTACTATGTATCCCACGCAAATAATAAGTTTATAGCCCTGTGCTTCTTCCCCTCCATAACTAGAACAGTGAGAGCCGTGCCAGTGCGGAGTGCATGGAGTTTTCATTCTTATCCTCGAAAGAAAATGGAGAAGCTAGCCAAGTTCCGGAAATCTGATCCCAGTGCTGTTTTTGAATTCAAAGATTTCGTGTATCATCAGGGTTCTGTCCTTGGCAAGGGTTCCTATGGCAAGGTGTATCACGGATGGGTTAAAGTAAGCTGCTTTCTTGACATTCTGATCTCTTTCACTATTCACCCAAATGCTAGCAGACCTTGCTGCATTCAATTAGTTCTAGGTCTTCATCTTGTCTTGGTTTTCGTTATGTTTCAATGTAAAGGCTAAAGCAATAATAACTCATAATTGCCTGTCATCGCTATGTACAGCAAAGTAGGGATATGAGCCAATGCAGTATGCAGTTTGATAAGTTAGGGCAAGAATATGTAACCTCCGAGAGTGTACAACTCCACTATCAAGTATCAGTGCTGTCCCGGCAGAATATCAAGTTGACATCCTTTTATGATATACAGTTATGCACGTTATCAGACGTGTCCTGGACCAGTGATCCCCATATGTTCCTGTATCAAACTAGTGTAAGGAAAGACGTGTGATGTGTTGAAACCCATACGAACAACGTGAATCACTCGTGCGAGGACCGTTGCATCATGACAATGACGGCGACTTGAAATTCTGTCAAGGCAGCACTGTATGCAGTAGTTGTACACTCTGGGGGGGGGGGGGGGGGGGGCTATGTACTCTTCATGATGGTGCATGATTGTACATATACGGTTATGCTCTATGAGATCCAGTCAAGTGAATAAGTTTGTATCAGTGCACAGTCCAGGGTTCGTAGGTCTGTGGCTCCACTAGCATAGCACCAGTGCACGCACGTACACAGCGCCCGTGCACACACAACTGCCATGCACCGTGCCTGTGTGTGCTCAGGTACAGTGCGTGCAGTGCCTGTGTGTGCACGTGCGCCGCGCACACCTGTACACACACAGCTGCCGATGCTGCGTGCACAGCAGCGGGCGCTTCTTGACCCATGCGACCGGGTCTTGTTGAGCAGCACTGTACAGTTACCATGAAGTTTCAGTGAACCATACATGTACCTGCAAGAGACAGACTAATCGTAGGTTTTAGCTGAGTTACTCCATATCCAAGGTGAATTGACTGAAACTTCGACAAGATATGTAACCTGTTTGGGCTCAGTAATAATGTTAGATGCTATACCTCCAATGCACATCATACTTTCTACTAGGGCTCAAACGGTTAGTCCGATTAACCGGTTGCAGACCGGTTACAAAGAATTAACGGTTAACCGATAAAGATAACGGTTACGCAGTAACTTTTCAGTCAAGTTTTCAAGTTTTAGGTCGTTGCAAAGTATGCACTTTCGCAGGCTGTCGCACGCGTACACAATTTCTGGGCTGTCAACTCGGTCATATCTGGTCTCTTGGTGTGAGAGTATGTATGAATGAGCATGCAAGAGAATGTACAATCATGTACATGTGTGCGTTGTACTGAATAGGGTACATTTTTTTGAATGAGTATTGTCAAATATACGGTTAAAAAAAGAGTCCGCAGGATTGCCGTGGCTTATAGGTTATAACCGTTAAACCGACCGTTAGCTTAGCAGTTAACCGTTAGGGGTAAAACCGTGACCGTTTGAGCCCTACTTTCTACTATGTATAGCTTCAGTATACCATACCTCCAAGCCCAAGGGTCCTAAACATCTCTTTCTTTTACTTGAAGACCCCGTCCCGTGTATCCAAGGTCAAGCAGGCCCGTCGGAACCGGTCAGGTTGGTCAGGTTAACACCGGACCAACTTTGTAGCTACCAACGCTGAGGAGGGCATACGTCCCCGCCATATTATACACAACGTATGAAAGACTATGGGGTACGACCGGACCAATTAAAAACCACTTCCGGCGGTCCTTTCAAACAAGTGGGGCACATTGATAGGGTCAAGCAAAACACTGTAAAAGCAATACTTGGTATCTGACTATCTGAAAATACCGGTACGTACGTATGTTCTTTCCAGAGTGCTGTACAGCTGAGGTGTTCCAGAGTGCACTGGTCTAGTAATGATAGTCCATTTATGGAATTAAAGGAGATGGCCAATTACCCAAATATGGATGATATGTGTACATAAGGTACAACAGTGCATGACCTCTACCATCACCTTGATAACCTCTGTACTGTGTATGGTCTATATATGGTATGGAACTTGGAAGGCAGTTTAGCAGCAAACATCTGAAGTTCCTATGTGAACATGGAGAGTTCAGCTGGGGTTGTGGTTTGGAGTGCTATTGTAGGACACGCAACGTATTCTGTCCCCGTAGAACATTGTGGACAAAATAATAAATCTATGCAGGGTCAGGAGAAAATCATTCTATTTGCGGCTAATGTGCGGAACTGGTAATGATGAATGAACTTACGGCCGTGTACTGGTGTATACTGTCTTCTCCTTTCAAGGGGTCCAGCTGAAGTGTCATGTTGGTATGCGCTGTTGTCCTCATTGATGGCTTCATCTTCATTTTAGCAAAATGTGTGTGTGTGTGCACGCGCATGTGTGTGCATGGGTGTGTGCGTGTGTGTGTGTGTGTGTGTGTGTGTGTGTGTGTGTGTGTGTGTGTATGTGTGCGCGAATGTGCTCACGTGTGTGTGCTTGTGCCTATGTGGATGCGTAACACAGCCACACTATGAGGAAGTAGCCGTGAAAGTGATAAAGTCTGAGTTCTACGAGAACGATGCCAAAGTGCGGGAGAATCTTTACCGGGAGATTGACATCCAGGAAGACCTGAAAGAGTGCCGCAATGTTGTGCGTCTTCATTGTCGCCTGGTACGTATGCACAGACGGTTGCTGATGTTTTCTGTCACACCTATGCTCTTGTCCTCTATGTGGTAGGGAAACAGGAAATTGTACGTGTGATGGGAACGATTCCTATGTTGAATGGAGTCAGAATGCTGGGCTTGCTAAAAGTTGCTATGCGTTTAGTCAACCTTGCTTGTTAGTGAGCAACATCTTGCTGTTCATGTTATGGCTATATCCGACGTTGAAAACACATGGTTGCTTTGAGTAATGCATGGTTGCTTTGAGTAATGTGTCTTTACTTGCCATTTGTTGTTGAACTTGCTGGTGTTGTTGTTCAAGGTTGCATTTTGGCTGAAGAGGTAATTTTTGTACTTTGCATGCCTTTAAATGGTATGCTAGTGTGTCAGTGTATGAAGGAAAGAAGCCACTCAATGGTATTACTTTTGTGTCACCATGGCGTGCGTGCGCGCGCGCGCGTGTGTGTGTGTGTGTGTGTGTGTGTGTGTGAGGTTCACGACAGCCGGAGGTATCGCGAGTCGGCTCGATACAGTCCAGAGCGTAGAAGGGTGTACGCCAGTCTTCCACGCTACAGGCACCGCTCCTACTCACCTCGACGCATGCCGCCGCGCTATGTGCGATCACCACCCCGCTATGTACGCTCGCCACCCCGCTACGCACACACTCCGCCTCCGCCTCGGCACCCCATGTCGCCGGCGTACGCATCGCGCGGCTACTCGCGCAGTCCTCACCGCGCCGCTACTACTGATGCGGACGCCCTATGTAGTATTCAAGCTCTCTTCCACTCCAGTGCTGATATATTGGTCCTGTTCAAGTTCTTGCATCGCATGGCACTCCAGTGGAGAATGGAGGTGCCCCGTGCCGGCGATGTGGTGTATTTAGGCGAGCGTTGTGGTAGTTGCAACATGGCAAATGTCCAGCACGGCTCTCGTGCTTGACCAGCCGAGCTGCCCGATCTCGACAAGGGTCTGTGTGTGGGTGGGTGTTGCATGCGGGGCGGTGCGACCCGCCTATGGGTGGTGAGCGCAGCAAGCACGCTTTCTCCGTGTGTGTGTGTGTGTGTGTGTGTGTGTGTGTGTGTGTGTGTGTGTGTGTGTTCGTGTGACTGAAAAAAGAAGAAAAAAAGGAAGAAAGTGGAAAAATGAAAAATAGGGATTCACTGGCCAGAAAAAGTCACTTCAATCAGCTGTGCGGTGGATACCAGGCTAAAAATAGTGGCGGTCAATTCATCAGCCTTGCAAGCTGTTGAATGGTGTAATCCCAGCACAAGTTGCTATGTCTAACATAGCTGTTCGCTATCATCGCTTCCGCGATGGGCAGGTCTGAGGTGTGTGTGTGTGTGTGTGTGTGTGTGTGTGTTGCTGCTTATCTGTGTGCACTGCAGGAAACACCAGAGGGACTGTACTTGGTGATGGAGAAGTGTGACTATGATCTTCAGCACCATCTGAATGCTGTGAAAGCGCTGAACGAGGCAGCCACCAAAGACTTCCTCTTCCAGCTTGGTAAGTTGTTTGGTGTTTTGAAGGAGGTCCGTAGTCATGCAAGTACTTGAAGATGTGTGTGTGTGTGTGTGTGTGTGTGTGTGTGTGTGTGTGTGTGTGTGTGTGTGTGTGTGTGTGTCTAGTGTAGCCAGTAGTTACCTTGTTAGTTATGAGATATCCTGGGATGACATGTGTCAAATACCCATCACTTTATAGTTTATATTCATGTGCAAACCAGCGCACCTTGAGCCCCCACTGTCATTTATAGTTTTTATACTCACGAAATATCTGTGCAGAAATAACGAGCCCCACCAACGCGAATGGTATGGTGCTTGTGTGTGTGTGTGTGCGTGTGTGCGTGCGTGTGTGCGTGCATGCATGTGTGTGTGTATTATGTGTGTGTTTGTGTGTGGTTATGCGTGTTTGTGCGCATGTCTCCCACAGGTAGCGGCATTGAGTACATGCATATGAAGGGCATTGTTCATCGTGATCTTAAACCTGCAAATGTACTTCTTGTTCGTGATGGTACTGGTGGTGTTGTGGTAAGTCCGAGTCGTGGTGTATGGTGTGTGTGTGTGTACGTGTGTATGTGTTTGTGTGTGTGTGTGTGTGTGTGTGTGTGTGTGTGTGTGTGTGTGTGTGTGTGTGTGTGTGTGCATTTCTTAGTTGGATGGGTGCCTACGATTTACGAGCTCAGTGTATACATTAGTAGCGACTCTCTCTCCCTCACACCCAGACCCTGATTTCAGTGGCAACATGCTTGAAGACTTCCAATGGTAGCATCAACAATGCAGTACCTTGCAGTGGAGCCAGGTCAAATGTCGGCAGTTTGCATCAAGTTTATTTCTTTGTAGGACGAAGGAGATGCACTTGCATTGCTCTTTCTCCATTCTCCCTCCAATCACGTTTATTTCTTGATTCCAGCGGAAGTCCAAACAGGTCGCTGTAACTCTGGAATTGCTGAGCGCATTTGGATAATTCTTGCAGATTTCCTATATGCCGTGCTCTGGAGAATCGAACGAGACCGAAATTGTAGCAATTGGAGCAAGTTTGCTAATGGTGACGTGTAAAGTCACTAGATACAGTACACATGTATCAAGTTTGATTTTCCCCTCACACTGTGCTGTGTGGCAGTGTCCTGGGAGCTATTGCTCTACTGTACTTTTGCTCTGCTGTATGCCTGTCTTTTTCTCCTTATCCGTGTCTGCCTTTTTCTTCTCTTTCTCCTCTCAAGGTCAAACTGGCTGATTTTGGATTTGCGCGGCATTTCCGCATCGGCGAAGGCACAAAGCCAATCGATATGAATTCTCTGGCCGGTACACCCGTGTTCATGGTGAGGCTTGCATGATACCGGCGAAAAAGAATCAGTGCTACATGATATGAGGTCAAAACATGTTGCCCAGTGCTGCAATCGGTGTGGCGCCTGTTGATTTCAGATTCCTGGCACAAGCATTACCTGTTGTTTGTGGACTGGTAGCTGAAAGGTGTTTTATTGAACACACAAACCACTGATGATATGAATGCTGGGAGAGCAAAGAATTCGAAAAGAGAACGGGAGCAGTGGACTGGTAGCTACTACTGTACTGCTTGTCAGAATAGCGGCACACAGTAACACGTTTTTGAAGCCCCTGTTGCCAGTCACTTGCACTTCATGCACGTATCAGTCTGTATGTTTTTGTCTCACATTGGCCATAGCCTACATGTATATGAATATATTTTTGCGTGTGTGTCTACAGCACATTATGAACATGTTCATGTGTGATCATTAAACGTGTGTGCCCGTGTATTTGTGTGTCTTGTAGGCACCGGAAGCACTGGAGTGCGTTTTCTACAAGGGCAAGGTATGGCTTGTTTAGTGCTGCTACTGCTGTAATGCGTGCCAGGAGTCTGATGTCAGTTCATTGGGCTGAATATCTGTGCAGTTGAATTCTTTTCTCTTCATGCAGGTTATGAGGTTGTCTGTTTCTTCACTTTCCTCAAAATAGGGGCTGCTTGATGTTTGTGTGAGTGTGTGAGTTTGTGTGCATGGTGGTGTTGGGCTGTTGGTATACAGTGTAGTTCCGCTGCAGTCAACATGATGGCTGTGTGCGTCTGTGTTTCTGCGTGTGCGCGTGTGTGTCTGTGTGTGTCTGTCTGTGTGTGTGTGTGTGTGTATGTGTGTCTCTGCGTGTCTGTGTATGTGTGTGTTTGTGTGTCTGTTTATGTGTGTGTTTATGTGTGTGTTTATGTGTGTGCATGTGTGTATGTGTAGCACTATGATGAGAAAGTAGACATGTGGAGTATCGGTGCTGTTCTTTATCAGTGTTTGGTGGGACGGCCCGCCTTCTATGCTGTAAGTCATTTTGCTGCCAGAATCAATTTGTTAGGGACCATCCATGATTGTCCCCATGATTGTCCCCGTTTACCACAGGGCATAGCCTTTCCCAGAGTACCCCCCCCCCCCCACACACACACCTCCTAATGCTGGTTTTCTGCTTTTTATTTGACATAATTATAGTGGTTTGCTAATGCGATGAGTTAAGTAGCGCTTTTTTGAGAGAGGCGGATGTGTCTCACTGACAGTTTACATTGTAGTGATGCCCAGATTTGCATGACTGTAGTTCATGCACTTGCCCTGCGAGTTCAGGCCATGCACTGGGAAGTGCACTTGCCCTGCGAGTTCAGGCCATGCACTGGGAAGTGCACTTGCCCTGCGAGTTCAGGCCATGCACTGGGAAGTGCACTTGGCACATGAATCCATTTTGCTTTCCCACACAGCCCAATACAAGAATGGTGCATAACACACACACACACACACCACGCGGGTCCTTTTGAATGTCGAAACCTGCAATATGCTCATATTGTGCTACTGTTGCTTGTGCGTAGGAGGGCGAAAATGCATGTGCATCTATGTACATGTATGTGTACATATGTTGTGTTTGAGTTCATGGATGAGGGCAATGTCAGTCGATAAGAAGTTGATAGTCAGTAATACGCTCCGCTTTCATCTAGATGTGCTGTGTTGTCTGTTTGTTTGTAATAGCAACTTCAAGACATCTTACCAATCTTGAAGAAGAAGGGTGACGCCATTGCATTCAGACGTGGTCGCTCGGGTCAGATCCAGTACATCAAAGAGCTACCGTCTGATGTTGAAGGCCGCATGACTAAGTAATTACCAATAGTGTCATGTCCGTCCTTGTTGTTCTGTATCCCACCACATAATAATTTTGTGCTGCTGCCCCCCCCCCTCTCTCTATCTCTGTCTCTCTCCCCTCTCCCCCCCCCCCTCTTTATCTATCTATCTATCTCTCAGGATCTGTGTGTGTGTGTGCGTGTGTGTGTGCGTGTGTGTTTGAATAGGGGAGAGGTGTAGATGTAGTATCCTGTCTCTCTGTACTACATTTGTTTATGGTGTGTGCATGTTTGTGTTCTGGTCTTATTTTCTGCTCACCAGGCGATTCAAGATGCAGATGAACCAACTCCTTAAGCACCTGCTACAAGTATCGCCGTCCAAGCGTATTTCCTACGGCGAGTTCTTCTTATTCATTGATCAGCTGAACCGCACACCACTGGACGTCTACTGTCCCAGTACTGGTGGCAAGTACTCGCTGTCGTTCGCTATTGAGAATCCGTAAGTGTAGGACTACCTCTGTGTGTGTCTGTGTGCGTGCGCGCATGCATGTAAGTGTGCCCATTTGTGTAGATGTGCTTTTCCCGGGTTGTGCATACCTGCGGAGCATGCAGCTAGTCTGGCATTCTCTATCGTATATGCCGTTTAGTGGTGTTAGGAATCACATCTGCTGCTTGGATTTAGTGACAGATGGTATCAATCCAGCCTGTGTGAGCCACATGTGCTGCATGCAGTGCAGATGGTACTGTATCAATCTGGTTTGAGTGAGCCACAGCTAGTAACTGCAATGCCACCACGGACAGTGAATTACTTGTACAGTAGTAGTAGTAAAGCTGTGTTTGAATGTCACACTGATGTGCCATGTAATACGGTACGTGTTTTGGTCGTATGGACTATAGACTGGCTTGAACCAAAGGAAGATCTAATAATTTGACTTGAGCTCTTTATTAAGCCTGGTTCATTCTTTAGTTTGTGTAGTACGGGAAACACATGGCAAAGTGGTTGCACGATGGGCCAAACAAGTTAAGCTCAAGGTGACTTTTTTTTGCAATGTGACACATTCCCCGTATGTGAAGTATGAACCAAGCGTTACCCTCCTGTGTCAAATCTCTGATGGTCTCGTCAATTTAGATCAGGAAGTCCTAGCCACTGTCATGGTGTGGCGCATGTTGCATTGCTGTGTAGGTGATGGCCTGTGTCACCCAGTGTGATTGCCCCGTCCGTGTGGCACATGTTGCATTGCTTGTAGGTGATGGCCTGTGTCACCCAGTGTGATTGCTGTGTAGGTGATGGCCTGTGTCACCCAGTGTGATTGCTGTGTAGGTGATGGCCTGTGTCACCCAGTGTGATTGCTGTGTAGGTGATGGCCTGTGTCACCCAGTGTGATTGCTGTGTAGGTGATGGCCTGTGTCACCCAGTGTGATTGCCCCGTCCATGGTCCTGATTGCGGATACAATGTGCTTTCTGTGTTCGATTATTTAATATTTTTGTTGTCAGGTGCAAAGAGATTGGCAAGCTAATCCACGTGGCGAGTGGCATCGAACCCGCTGATCAGATTCTCTTTGATCTCGGCAGTGGTGCGATGATTGACCCACTTGGATCACGCGTACTCTCCTGTGCTGTCTTGCAAAAGGTACTTGTGCGTTGCAGGCTGTTAGTGTTAGTTTGGCACAAGTAACAGAACTCCTGCTCAGCTGTGGCAGGTCACGGTGGAAGGAGGCCGTGTCAGAAGCCGCCCAAGAATTTCATTGTTGTACAATGTGAGAATTTCATTGTTGTACAATGTGTTGTCATGGACTAGTCTTGTCCATTGCTCAATGTTCCTTTTGAATCTCTCTCTCTCTCTCTCTCTCTCTCTCTCTCTCTCTCTCTCTCTCTCTCTCTCTCTCTCCCATCTCCTGAGGAGACCCACATGACCAGTTTCTAGCAATGAGCCAGTACATATACAAATCGGTGTTTGTGTGCACGTGCGTGTGTGTGCGTGCGTGCGTGTGTGTGCCTTAGACTGACCATTGGACGTTCTTTGTGCTGAGTAAAAAGCACCTTGCTTCAGAGGACCAGCCACACCCGGATGAGGAATACGTGCATACTATAGGTACAGTGCACTACCTGATTACTGTCCGTGTTGAGTGACACCCCTGATTACTGTCCGTGTTGAGTGACACCCCCATTGTACAAAGTACAGTATGCTTATTTTGCCTGTAACCGGACATGCATGAAACCAGTGATGACGCATACTAGTAATGCCACACTTCTCGACTGGCTCTACAAATTGTCTTGCTTCTGCCAGTCGTGCTTGTACATGTATATGAGCCATGCTTGTAAGTTACACAAGTCTCTACTGTATATATTACATGCATACTAGCTTTAGGGGAGATTTGGTGATGCGAATCACTGCATGTCGCACTCTATCGCATGGTCTAAAGGGTGGCATGTACACCTGTCTGTTCATCTGTCCTTCCATGTCTGTACGTGTGTGTGTGCGTGCGTGTGTGTCTTTGTCTTTGTCGTTATCTTTGCATCTGCCCTATCCCATCTGCAGTGAAAACTTTGGATGAGCCGAGCCAGGCGATTGGTGTTGTCCAGGTAAGTACTGATTGTGTATGTGTGGGTGTGTGTATGTGTGGGTGGGTGGGTGTATGTGTGGGTGTGGGTGGGTGGACATGTGTACATGTATTCAGCAGGTTGTACTGGAGGCGTATCTGTGCTTACGCTCGATCTTCTTTCAAAACCTTATTTTAGCAAGGAAGCACAGTGGTGTTACTTTGAACCATAGCTGTGTTGGTCTAGTGTTACTCATGGAATTGTTCTCTGCTGGATATCAGCCTAGTGTTTACCCGCTTTGTGTTTGCTTGTTCTGTATTCTCATGATTTCTTCTGTGTATCTTTAACCTGTGCTTTGTGGTGTGTGTGTATGGGTGCATGGTGCGTGTGTGTGTGTGTGTGTGTGTGTGTGTGTGTGTGTGTGTGTGTGTGTGTGTGTGTGTGTGTGTGTGTGTGTGTGTGTGTGTGTGTGTGTGTGTGGATATGGGCGTGCCATGGGTGTGTGTGGTGTGTGTGTGTGTGTGTGTGTGTTGATGTTTCAGGCTGAGGGTTTGTCTGTGATGTGCTCTGAAATGGTCGAGAGTGCTAATGAAATCCGTCAAATGGTCACCAATGCCCTGGTCTGTTATCGGTATGTACCATTTCCTACCTTACTCTTCGTACTATTTTGCATTTGTGTGCGTGCGTGTGTGTACGTGTGTGCGCACGTGTGTGTGTGTTTGTGTGCGTTTGCCTATGACTTATTTCCTGCATGTCACCTACAGACCTACTGGGTTTGATGCTAAATTATTCTAGTTTGTCCTGTGCGAAGTTGAGTCCTGCAGGGTATCATTAATTTCACGCCACCGTTCAGTATAAGACCTTCGTTCATTAACTTCGTTTTGCGTTTGTCTCTGGCAGGAACATTGTGAAGGGTACGCAGCAGTTGCTGTATGACATTCGCACTGACTTGCGCTTGGAGCGGTCTCGCTATGAACATGGCTGTGGAGCACTGGTTAACACGTAAGAGAACCACTACAGGCTACTACTGTACAGGCAGAATATATAGTCAGTGGATAATTTCGTCAAACTCTAAAGGAAGGGAGTCTGTCCGGCTAACAATTTAATGAGTCCATGGACCATGAGTCGTGTTGAAAAGCTGGACAATTCGATGCTAGCCCGGCATTTTATTTAGTGTGGAAAATCCTTGGACGGAAAAGACGGAAGTAAGAACTCCAGACGAATATTTCTGCTTACTAGTATAGAGTATTACTACACTTACCGTAGTGGGCCTTTTAGGGCATGTTTGCCTGGCACGGTCCGGCCTAGAACAAGATCCTGCAAAGCAGCACCGCGTTTGACTGGGACTGCACCTCTAGGGTAGTAGCCAAGGTGGGCTACGAGTACAAAAGGCATTTTACCCCGCCGCTCTTGTCTCTGCGTGACGAACAGCATGGAGGAAGATTTACGGCAAGCAACTGAAGATGGCCAGGTGTCAACCAGTGAACACGGCGTGCTCAATGACCAGCTCCTGACTATGAAGGCGAAATATGCTGCAGTAAGTCGTCTTCCCATTCGCTGTTGCACTTCAACTACTGACCGAACACAATTGAAGCTGGCATTGACAATTTGTCCTAATGAATGTTGCTGTAGGGTTTTCATCTTGATTATTCCAGTACTCAGTTCTCTATTTATTGAGGTTAGTGCTAGAAAGCACGATCCGGGGTTGCATGTACTGATCATCCAGTGCTTCAGGCAATGCTGCTTCTGCTGGCATTCTGTTGTTGTTGTTGTTGTTGTTTGTTTGTATGCTCATGCTGTTCACACTGATTGACACAGGTAATGTCTGCCATGGACGAAGTGGAAGATCAGTGTACAATGACGCACGACTCCATGATGGCGGAGGATGGTCTCCAGTCATTGTCGCCTGTTCAGGGTGATCTGTCACCGCTGCTCGAAGAGTGCCGTAGAATCACCCACTTCAAAGGACAGCTTCTCATCTCCTCCGCCAAGGCGCTTGTTAACCAGTGTCGCCAGAAGCATGCTGCTTTCCTGCGTGTTGTCCACTCCAAATTCAGGTTAGTACCAATACAGGTGCATGTACTACACTAGTGCGTACATGCATACCGTAGTACTACATTGAGATTGAGTACATGTACCGTAAAGTACCGTTGATCCCCCCCCCCCCCCACCCCACGCCATGTCGCTTCCCAGCTGGGTTTTCGGCAGGGGGCGGGAATTAGATCAAGGCTGTCAAGTGCAGTACGATGTACAACAACGTAGAGGATCAGACTCGATGTGCTGGATTGTGCACATTTTGATCATGGATTGGCAAGTATTGTGTACAGCAGTGCATGCGTCGGTTCAACATCGTATTTCGTTGTATACGCAGAAGTCGCTTCACAAGGAGAAAATCGACAGGGGGCGGGAATTAGAGAGGGGGCGGATCAACGGTACTTTACGGTACTACACCAGTATTAGTATGTACATGGTACATGATACATGGCGCTGTAATGCACTGCCCATTGTCACTGTTTCCATCTTCACTCTCCCGTATATTCATTGGTTCCACTCATCACACAATCATTAGTTTCCTGATTGATGATGGCTTATGCAAGAAACTCAGAGTACAGTTGTAATTGCATGTACAAGTAACCTAGACCGCTGTTGTTCTAGCTGGATGTAAACGTTCTATTGTATACTTGTATTTGCACTGTATTAGGAAAGGTGTTTGCTCCCCACGTGCACACTGGAGCTCACGCTTTCCCGCTTTTCGTATTGTATTTCCAAGTATTTGTATTGTAGCAGAATTTCACGTTGTTACTTGCGTGCGTGTGCGCGTGTGCGTGCTTGTACTGTGAATAGGCTGCTGTACAACTATGCACACACAGTGCCTCACTATCAAGGTCGTGTGGCTCAGCTGGCTAGCCGCTCTGCTGCCGTGTGGCAAGAGATCAAGTCCATGCGCCGCCGTTTCTCTGCTGATCTTTTCTCCGAGATTGCTCAGGTATGACTAGCCCTAGCACTCGCAGATAGTGCAGCAATGGCATCATAAATTGCAGATTATTGCAGCAATAGCATCATAACTTGCGTTGTGGCCGAGCACAATACACACAGTGGAACAAAGCCATGTCAGCTTTCCATCTCTCTGTAATGAAGTGGTGTCCGATGGTACCTGTGTGTATGCGATGTGCGCATGGCTGTGTTGTGTGTGGGTGTGTTGTACGGGGGGGTGATGTACGTGGGGGTGTTGTACGTGGGTGTGTTGTACGTGGGTGTGTTTGATTCCTGACCCATAGTCACATCGTGGTGGATTTCAAGCTGCTTCTCTGGATGCAAGCGTGGTATCTGCTGGTCCTGGTCTCTCCGTTGTCGGTAAATCACCTAATTACCCGTATAAGTAGTCTTGCTGGGCGCTTTCCTGCTTCTTTTTATTTCCTGCTACTTTCATGCTACCTTTCCCATGTTTGACTTGTGCATGAAACTACCTATGTTGATCGTGCCTTGTGTGATTTCATATGCATTCCTCGCTCTATCCTGTAGGCCTACATCATCTCTCAGTCTGTCAATGCGAGTGCAGCCGAATGCCTCATTGGCTCATGCGGCTTTGACAGCTTTTAATTGTTTTCTTGTATGTTTTTGTTGTTGTTTGGCATCAGCTAAGCCAGTGGTGACGGTGGCAACGACCACAGTGCCGGCGGCGGGAGATGGAGATGAGGTTGATGGTGTGACACATACCCCGCAGCTGCAGCAGCTCATCCAGAAGAATGACGAACTTGCACTGGACAAGAATGTGAGTGTTCCTTATTCTTTGCCTGCCACTGGTGGTTTCCTTTCACAATCTGATGAATTATTGTGACTGTGTCTTCACATGGATAGTCCTCACCTTGAGGATAGGCCATACCCGGAAATTGTATCTTGTGAGAAACCCACTTGATGGCTGGCAGATGATGATGTTTCATTAAAAGAAAAGGTTTGCAATCAGCTGGAATGCAGGCCATGCATAGCCTGTGGATACTGCATATTGTCATGATTACTTTCCCAACAGAAGACCAGCAAACCGTGGCGATGTGAATTGTTATCAAGAGTACATAAAACAGAGTGTGTGCAGCTACACGTGCATGTACGGGTCAGTGAGCTTGCGCCATTTTGGACGTCAGTGTACAGTAGAAGTACTGATTCCACAGGTTGTCCTGACGCAGTTCATACTGATGTAGTTTGTACTGATGTACATGTAGTGCATCTGTGGAGTTGCGGATTGCAAATATTATATTTACAGTGAGTTGCATACGAGACTTCTTTCCTATGTCGTGTTAATTTTGCTGCCTAGCTGCTCCTGTGTATGGTATGGGGATTCCCCATTGATAGTCACAAGTTGTACAGTGTACTTGTGTTACTTAGTTAGTTATGCTGTTTTATCATCTCTTTTAGTATCATGACTGTAAGGAAGAGCAATGAGGATTCCTGCAGTTCCAATTTGCCTTGTGTACCGGTATCATTTATTTTGTGTACATCACTTGCTTCTGCTTTGCTTCTTACTCTCCAGCAACTTCTACATCGTGTCGATGAGCTGGAGCAGCAGCTTCATGCATTGCAGACAACAGGCCCAGCTGCAGGCAGTATTTGGGAGATGATCGGCTCGACTGGTGTCACTATTGATCAAGTCACTGGAACGTTCCCAGTCAATCACCTGCAGCCCTGCAACCCAGGAGCGGATGCTGCACACATGACGCTGCCATTCCCATCTCCGACAAGTGAGCCTCTTTCTCGCCTGTCGCTATGTGGGGAAGAAGAGGGGCCCCAGTTTTTCCTTCAACCTTGTTTGAGCAGTCACCAGACAGAACATGACACGGAGGTTTGGCTCAGTTTCATGTCCCCGACTTACCTGTTATTTGCAATGATACCGAAGAATTTGTGTCACGGAGACAGCTTGATTCCAATCTATAGTTTATGAACACATGTACAGCTGAACAGATGCAAGAAGAGGGTCATTCATTTGACCTTAATTTGGTCAATTGGAGGAAGAGGAGGCGGGAGAGGGAAAGAGGGGGAGAGGAAGGGAGGGAGGGAGAGAGAGAGAGAGAGAGAGAGAGAGAGAGAGAGAGAGAGAGAGAGAGAGAGAGAGAGAGAGAGAGAGAGAGAGAGAGAGAGAGAGAGAAGGGGTAGCTATTAGGGAATATCTTACTACCAAAGTTCCACTATTCCCTAATCACGCTATTTGCGATAACAGGTGGTATGTTATCGTTGATGTTGTATGTTGTGATGGCCTGTGTGTTCATGTGTAGACTTAGACCGTACTCTTGTTCCTGGCAGCAGCGGTGAACAACAACCACTGTCTGGAAGCAGCTCTCCCTCTGCCACTGTTTCTCCACCGCGACCTCTTGCCGAACCCCGACATCAATCTAGTCCACGTGATGATCTCAACTTGGAGTCCATTCGCCTGTCTCTCTCACAGCTACTTGGCTTCACGCAGAAGCTGCAAGAGTAAGGTCTTGTCCTTGCCTTACTGCTAGTTTTGTGTCTTCTAGGCGATTGGTACGAATCTTGATGAGTGGCATCATTCAGCTTTCGATAATCCACACAGAAGCGAGCAGAACCATCAGGTTTCTGCACTAACAAAATCAGACTAGCCGAAGGGGACACGCTAGGGGAGATATTGCCCTTTTCTAAAATGTTCTCGGCCTCTTCGGCCACAATCTTTAACCTGGGAGGGGGGGGGGGGGCATCGCGGTCCATGGCGAATGGGACGTGTGGTGCTGGTGTCGATGTAAGGATTCAAGACGCACCCCGTCACAGCAAAATACACTGAACTACTTTAGTAGGTGCAGCGGCTGCACGATAGCTAGAAGAGATAACGAGAAGGAGAACAAAAAGAAAAAATGCAGAAACAACTGGGAACAACATAATTATTGTGTACATGTGTGTGTGTGTGTGTGTGTGTGTGTGTGTGTGTGTGTGTGTGTGTGTGTGTGTGTGTGTGTGTGTGTGTGTGTGTGTGTGTGTGTGTGTGTGTGTGTGTGTGTGTGTGTGTGTGTGTGTGTGTGTGTGTGTGTGTGTGTGTGTGTGTGTGTGTGTGTGTGTGTGTGTGTGTGTGTGTGTGTGTGTGTGTGTGTGTGTGTGTGTGTGTGTGTGTGTGTGTGTGTGTGTGTGTGTGTGTGTGTGTGTGTGTGTGTGTGTGTGTGTGTGTGTGTGTGTGTGTGTGTGTGTGTGTGTGTGTGTGTGTGTGTGTGTGTGTGTGTGTGTGTGTGTGTGTGTGTGTGTGTGTGTGTGTGTGTGTGTGTGTGTGTGTGTGTGTGTGTGTGTGTGTGTGTGTGTGTGTGTGCGTGCGTGTGCGTGTGCGTGTGTGTGTGTGTGCACGTGTGTGTGTGTGTGTATGTGTGTGTGCTATAGGATTGTGTCTTATCAGCCATCTACTGATGACGAGGCGACAACATCCTCCTCAGCCGATGCTGTAGCTGCAAGTGGTGCTGGCGCTGATGCTGGTGCTGGCGGTGGTTTCATGGACACCTGGAGGGCAGCAACCGACGGTGAGTTCTAGTTTATCCCCTGCCTCTACCCATACTAATTACTGTTTTAACAATGATGTAGTGAATGACTTGTGTTTTATCCTCTAGCTGTCAGTGAGTAACTGTGGACAGAAGCATCCAGCCTTGCCTCCATGGATCATGGAGTGAGCATGGCCAGCAGAATCCAGCCTTGCTTTCATGTATCATGGATATTGTAGGAAGGATGAAGTGAGCGAGAGAGTGTTTCAGCCGAACTGTCTGTACCCACATATTAAAAATACGACCAAGTATACACAACTCCCCAGAGTATGACCAAGTATACACAACTCCCCAGAGTATGCAGCTCTGCGCAAACCCCCGCCGTGACTAGTTTGCAGAATTACATCATTTTTTGGTGATGTAATGCAGCTGACTGTGCACCAAACTGCAGTGCATGTAGCCAGCCTTGCAGCTGGAATGCATCCGGAGAGGTAGCTACATCATGAACAATTACCCCTTTGTGGAAGAAATCATGATATTGACAGCTACCTACGACTCGTATCTCGAGTTGCACTCTCTTGTGAAGTTGTGAATGGTATGTACTGTAGGTACAACATACTCAATCTGCAGACAGTACTGTTCATCCTTCATGCACTCCTATGTTAATGGACCATATTATAATGGTTATAATGATCTCAGTAGCACTTCTGCTAAAACAATGCGTAACGTGCCCGTGTGCCCTTGACATCTCACTTTAGTACCTGTTAGGATAAGGTATTGTTTCAAAACCTCTAAACTTTCCCTAGTGCAATGTCGTGTAGAAGATATCAATAACATCATGCCTGACCCTCGATGCTTGAACAGTGGAAGTTTCTTGCGAGCATTCTGTTTCTGCTGTTGTTGTTTTTTCTGTAGTTTCTGGCTTGTCCATGCTGAATGAAACCAAGCTTGTTGACAGCATCCAGACATTGGTCGACCTGTCCAATTTCGTCGAGACAGATGCACTGAAGTCTGCTGTGCGTGACATGGGTGAGCCACAGCAAAACTTAGCTACTCAGATCATTTTTTTGTAGATCGGGGTGGGGGGGGCGATCAACTGCCAATCGTATGTGTGTTGGTACACGCTTACTGTGAGTGGGAGAGAGAAGGGGGAGGGAGGGAGAGAGAGAGAGAGAGAGAGAGAGAGAGAGAGAGAGAGAGAGAGAGAGGGGGGGGGGGGGGTGAGAGAGACAGACAGACAGACACATACAGAGACAGAGGAAGAGAGAGAGACTAAGAGATCCACGATAAGTCGATAATATCGAAAGAGTCCTACTATCATCACTGATAATTAATATTGTTCATCTTGCCGATACTGAAAGTATTGTTCTCTTTTCTCTGTTCACGCTGTTGTCGTGTATCTGCAGCTAAGCACATCAGCTACAAGCAGTAAGTGTGCTGTGTCTGTGGTGATGTCTGTGCTGTTGTCTGTGCCGATGTTTTGTTGATGTGCATGAGTGTAGCATAACATAGCATTATAACATGTGCATGAATGTAGCATAACATAGCATGATAACATTAGACTGGTATAGAATGTTATTGTACATGTGCCCGGCCGTAACTAGTCATCCATCCATATATATACATGCACTAACGTGTCCCTGGGTTGAGATGAATTCTGGGCTTTCAGGGTATGCGTGTGCAGATCCAATGCGTGAGTGCATCGACGCAGTTATTTGCGCAGACCCAATGTTGCCTTGTGCTACACTTTCTCCTCGTGTAACGTTAGAACTTTTAAAAAAGCGTCGGTGGTTCGATTACGCTTTGATCAGCTTCTCCTACTCACCTCACCATGATACTGAGCAATAAATACTGTAGTCTTCTCCTACTCACCTCACCATGATACTGAGGAATAAATACTGTAGTCTTCTCCTACTCACCTCACCATAATACTGAGCAATAAATACTGTAGTCTTCTCCTACTCACCTCACCATAATACGTATAGAATAAACACCGATGTCGTAGTGTTTATGGGAATATAAATACTGCTATAAAAACCGAGGCGTAGCCGAGGTTTTTATAGACAGTGTTTATATTCCCATAAACACAAGACAGAGGTGTTTATTCTATTTATACCTAGCTTCGTTTTTGGCCTGAAATACTGGTCCGAAATAGCTATTTTAGTATCCCAGTATACAATAGTATACTATTATGTGTAGGTAGTATTGCGTGCTCCAGACCTAAGACCTTTCTTTCAACCAACATCTGCGTCAACACCCTGGTGGCTGGGTGGTCAAGATAGGTGCTTGGGAATCTTATGGTTCTAGGTTCGATTCCTGCTGAAACTTCTTTCTTCTCTTCAATTTTTTTCTTTTTCAATTGGAGAGAAAATTTCTAAGTCCCTTGAAAGTTGAAAAGTTACAACCTCTAAGTGGGTAATATAGCAAAGTATATACCCCAAGTTAAAGTGGTGAATATGGAGATATATTCACCAGTTATAGATCACAGGAATTAGTGGGGGTTAATATGAGCTGGGTATAATGAGCATTATCGCCTTCTTAGTATTTGACCCCACTAATTTCCCTGATACCTAAGGGCCTGGTCAGACTGCGGCAAATTTTGGTTGCCTGACGAAAAAAAGAACAGCGTCCAGAATTTGAATCGCGATCACACTACACATGTGGGGAGAGTGAAAATTCAAACTTCATTTCGAGCGTCAAGTGGTAATCTCCACGAACGACGTCAAATTCCTTCACCTTGGGGACCGCCAACACCTTCAGTGCAATCCTTGCAACCATCCTTATGAGTTTTGTTGTTGTCCGTGGCCAATTAGCTCCTCGATATCGAGATGAAAAAATCAGTGATTATTAGCGTCAATGGCGTATCAGCGTCAAATCCTGTTTGGAGCGGAAAAGCGTGGTCCGTTCTTGCTTTTTTTTGGAGCGTCAACTCTCGCTTTTGCCGCTCTGGCGGCAAGTTACTATGGAGATTCGGATTATAATCCTAGGATTATTTCGATTTTGCCGCAGTCTGACCAGGCCCTTAGCGGTCAAATATATCGCGTATTTGATTGCTTGTTAAATACATCGCGTATTTGACTGCTTGGTCAAATACGCGATATATTTGACTACTTATATTTGACTCCTTAGAATTTCTTGGACTTAGAAATTTTCTCTCCAACTAAGAAAAAGAAATATTTGAAGAAAGCAAAAATACACATGATGGGATTTGAACCCACAACCATGTGAATCTCAGTCACTCTTCCTTACCACCCAGCCACTGTGCTACCGATGCTGAACCTACTTTAAACAATGACCTTGATCCTGCAATGCCGTACAATGCGGTATACTGTCCCTCCAGAAACTTGCGGAGACATTTCGGAAATATCGCGGAAAAAGTTGCGAGGTAAAATGCCACAAATTGCGGGGAATATTGCGGATTTTGTCAAATATTGCGGGATTATTGCCGTAAAATTGCGGAAATTGCGGCCGATTTTT